AATCGTTATGTGCTGGAGGAAGATTCTAGACACCGACCTGACCATCTCATTGCGCATGTGGAGGAGGGGAGGTTCCCGCCAAGGTTAACTGTCCAGCATTCCATTCTGGTGATGTTTTTTTGAAGATATCTCCCACGTGACAGTTGGGTGAATTATAATTGGACTATGGACTGGGGTGCCAAGGGGAGGGGATTGAATTATACATGATATTCTTTGCTTTCGCACCTAACCAGATTCAGCTTTGCTTCGCTACTATTCGTTTGTAATTAGTAAAAGTACACTTAATTTCAAGCAAATGGAGTTGAGTGGTTTCTTTCCTGATTATTAAATGAAGTAGGACTTGACAGTAGCACAGTACAGGAGTGACAGATGGGGTCCTGGACTGGTGAAACAGGCATTTGGGGTCTCTCACTTGCGCCCTCCTTTCCTTGCCCCAGGCCAAAGTACGCTCTCCTGGATGAATGCACCAGTGCCGTCAGTATTGATGTAGAAGGCAAGATCTTCCAAGCAGCAAAGGATGCAGGAATAGCGTTGCTGTCCATCACACACCGACCTTCGTTATGGTATGTCTTGTTCTTCGCCTGGGATATTGTGATGCTTTATACCAGGGGTGTCAATCTCAGTTTCATCGAAGGCCACATCAGGGTTGTGTTTGACCTTGGAGGGCTGGGGTGGCCATGGCCAGGGTGGGCGTGGCCAGCTCGACATCACTCATGTCAGGGACACCTCTGGTGGGGCCAAGTGCTCTGCCAGCAAAAGCAGGCTCCCAATCTCTGTTTTTGGTTGGGACGGCCTCCTGCAACCCTCTGCCAGTGAAAATGGAGCTTGGGAGGACCTTATGTGGGCAGAAGGTTGCAGGAGGCCGTCCTAACAAAAAACGGAGATTGGGAGCCTGTTTTCGCTGGCAGAGGCTGGTCTTTCGCTGTTTCCAGGGTGGCCCCGGGGGCCAGATCTAAGCACCCCCACAGGCCGGATCTGGCCCATGGGCCTTAAGTTTGACACCCCTGCTTTATACCTTCCCCCCCTTGCTTAAATATCTGTGTTTTTTGTTTTTATTGGAATAGATATATCACACTTGTAGCACATATTCTCAGGGGGTTCCTAATTAGGTCCTCCAAAACAACGAGGCCTCTTGTGGTATTAATCTCTAAGGTATCAGAGGATTCTGTTGTTTTGCATTTACTGTGGCATCGAGTTTCTATGAATTACATTCCATTTCATTGGGATAATTTAAAAAAAAAGGAATGATAAAAGCAGTCGAAACACAATCAAAATTTGGGGAAGGAACCAACATTAAGAAGTGTAATGAAATGTAGTGGGTGCAGATGCTGACAATTACAGTACCTATAAAAAGTGGCTTCGTGAAACCATTTTGGTCTTGACAGCAGTCATCCCTACTGCCAAGGGCGCAGTGGGTAGAGTGCAGCACTGCAGGCCACTTCAGCTGACTGCTAGATCAGCAGTTCAGCGGTTCAAATCTCACCGGCTCAAGGTTGACTCAGCCTTCCATCCTTCCGAGGTGAGTGAAATGAGGACCCAGACTTTGGGGGCGATATGCTGACTCTGTAAACTGCTTAGAGAGGGCTGAAAGCCTTATGAAGCAGTATATAAGTCTAACTGCTATTGCTATTGCTATTGCTATTGCTATTGCTATTGCTATTGCTAAGAACTGAAACTTACTGATTGGATTCAGATAACTTGCAAAGCCATTAGGTGACTCACATGTTTCTGCTAAATGAACTCACCCATTGTGGTTTGTAAGATGGTTGCAGTTTAGTAGGATCTGTGAATCAAGCTGCATTATAATAAAAATGTGCATATCTATTTAATCCATGAGAAATAGTGTTGTGTTTCAGTGAAGTTATAGGCAGTCCTTATTTAGCAACTGCCTTATTTAGCAACTGCAGTTAGAATAGTGATGGAAAAAAATAAGTTTATGGCCAGTCCACACATTTACGACCTTCCTGTAAAACAAAGGAAAACTGAAATAAGATTATAAGCAGGGTTGAGTTGCCAATCCTAATTGTGGTTGCTAAACAAGGATTACCTGTACATTTGTTCACTTTTGGATTAGTACATTGTGTAAACCATAATTATGGTTTATTGTTGTTCTAATCCAGTCACTAATGGTCTTTAGTAAAGCATGGATAAACAATGATATAATGAGATATACAGTATGGTAGAGCCTCAGTTCATGCATTCTCTTAGGACACCACAGGTTTTCAAAATTATTCATAATTGGCTAAATTCATGTTTCGTGCTAAGCCACTCAGTATATCAGGAGTGACATTCTAAAACAGTGGTGGTCAACCTGGTCCCTACCGCCCACTAGTGGCTTGGGACCTAGATATCTGCGGGACCGCCTTCTGCCACATACCTCCCAACGACCCATAAGATCTCACAGGCTGGGCCTCCTTCGGGTACCGTCAACCGGGCAATGCTGGTTGACGACTACTCAGGGGAGGGCTTTCTCTGTGGCTGCCCTGGCCCTGTGGAACGATCTGCCCGCTGAGATCGGGACCCTTCCCACTCTCTCGGCCTTCCGGAAAGCCACTAAAACCT